GGTAGAATTCGGCTGTGAACTCATCTGGACCTGGGCTTTTTTTGGGTGGTAAGGTATTAATTGCTGCTCAACATCAGCCCTTGTTATTGGTCTATTCAAGGTTTCGACTTCTTCCTGGTTTAGGCTTGGGAGGCTGTAAGTGTCCAGGAATTTATCGATTTCTTCCAGGTTTACTGGTTTATGTGCATAGAGTTGTATGTAGTAATCTCTGATGGTGGTTTGTATTTCTGTGTAATCTGTGGTGATATCCCCTTTATCGTTTTTTACTGCATCTATTTGATTCTTCTCTCTTTTGTGTTTTATTAATCTGGCTAGTGGTCTATTTTGTTGATCTTTTCAAAAAACCAGCTCCTGGATTTATTGATTTTTTGAAGGTTTTTTTTTTTTTTTTTTGGTCTCTATCTCCTTCAGTTCTGCTCTGATCTTAGTTATTTCTTGTCTTCTACTAGCTTTTGAGTTTGGTTTTTTTTGGGTTTTTTTTTTTTTTTTTTTTTTTTTTGATCTTGCTCCTCTAGCTCTTTCAATTTTGACAATAGGGTGTCCATTTTAGATATTTCCTTGCTTCTTATGTGGGCATTTATTGCTATAAATTTTCCTCTAGACACTGTTATAAATGTGTCCCAGAGATTCTGGTACATTGTGTCTTTGTTCTCGTTGGTTTTGAAGAACATCTTTATTTTTGCCTTCATTTCATTGTTTATCCAGTCAACATTCAACAGCCAGTTTTTCAGTTTCCATGGAGTTGTGAGGTTCTGAGTTAGTGTCTGAATTCTGAGTTCTAATTTGATTGCACTGTTGTCTGAGAGACTATCTGTTATGATTTCCATTCTTTTGCATTTGCTGAGGAGTGATTTACTTCCAATTATGTGGTCAGTTTTAGAGCTGGTGTGATGTGGTGCTGAGAAGAATGTATATTCTGTGGATTTGGGGTAGAGAGTTCTGTAAATGTCTATTAGGTTTGCTTGGTCCAGATCTGAGTTCAAGTCCTGGATATCCTTGTTAATTTTCTGTTTTGTTGATCTGTCTAATATTGACAGTGGAGTGTGAAAGTCCCCCACTATTATTGTGTGGGAGTCTACATCTCTTTGTAGGTCATTAAGAACTTGCTTTATGTATCTGGGTGCTCCTGTATTGGGTATGTATATATTTAGAATAGTTAGCTCTTCTTGTTGCATTGATCCTTTTACCAGTATGTAATGCCCTTCTTTATCTCTTTTGATCTTTGTTGGTTTAAAGTCTATTTTATCAGAGACTAGGATTGCAACTCCTTTTTTTTCCTCTCCATTTGCTTGGTAGATCTTCCTCCATCCCTTTATCTTGAGCCTATGTGTATCCTTGCACGTGAGATGGGTTTCCTGGATAGAGCACACTGATGATTTTTAAGTTTTTATCCAATTTGCCAGTCTGTGTCTTTTGATTGGGGAATTTAGCCCATTTACATTTAAGGTTAATATTGTTATGTGTGAATTTGATCCTACCATTTTGATGCTGGCTGGTTGTTTTTCCGGTTAGTTGATGCAGTTTCTTCATTGCGTCGATGCTGTTTACCATTTGGTACATTTTTGGAGTGGCTGGTATTTGCTGTTCATTTCTATACTTAGTGCTTCTTTCAGGAGCTCTTGTAAAGCATGGCTCGTGGTGATGAAATCTTCTATCAATTGGTTGTTCATAAAGGATTTTATTTCTCCTTTGCTCATGAAGTTTAGTTTGGCTGGATATGAAATTCTAGGTTGAAAGTTCTTTTCTTTAAGGATATTGAATATTGGCCCCCAATCTCTTCAGGTTTGTAGGGTTTCTGCGGAGAGATCTGCTGTGAGTCTGATGGGCCTCCCTTTCTGGGTAACCTGACCTTTCTCTCTGGCTGCCCTTAGCATTTTTTCCTTCATTTCAACCCTGGTGAATCTGAGGATTATGTGCCTTGGGGTTGCTCTTCTTGAGGAATATCTTTGTGGTGTTCTCTGTATTTCCTGGACTTGAATGTTGGCCTGCCTTGCTAGATTGGGAAACTTCTCCTGGATTATATCCTGAAGAGTGTTTTCCAGCTTGGATTCATTCTCTCTATCACATTCTCTCCATCACATTCTATGAAATGTAGATTAGGTCTTTTCACATAATCCCATATTTCTTGGAGGCTTTGTTCATTTCTTTTCACTCTTTTTCTCTAATCTTGCCTTCTCCTTTAATTTAATTGAGTTGATCTTCAGTCTCTGATATCCTTTTTTCTGCTTGGTCAATTCAGCTATTGAAACTTGTCTGTGCTTCGTGAAGTTCTCGCATTGTGTTTTTCAGCTCCATCAATTCATTTTTATTCCTCTCTAAGCTGTTTGTTCTTGTTAGCATTTCATCAAACCTTTTTTCAAGGTTCTTAGTTTCTTTGCATTGGGTTAGAACATGTTCTTTTAGCTCAGAGACGTTTGTTATTACCCACCTTCTGAAGCCTGTTTCTGTCAATTCATCAGACTCCTTCTCCATCCAGCCTTTTCCCCTTGCTGGTGAGGAGTTGTGATCCCTTGGTGGGGAGAGGCATTCCAGTTTTGGGTATTTTCATCCTTATTGCACTGGTTTCTTCCCATCTTTGTGGATTTATCTACCTGTGGTCTTTGTGGTTGGTGACTTTCAGATGGGGTCTCTGAGTCGATGTCCTTTTTGTTGCTGATGAAGTTATTTCTTTCTATTTCTTAATTTTCCTTCTAACAGTCAGGCCCCCCTGCTGTAGGAATGCTGGAGGTCCACTCCAGACCCTGCCTGCCTGGGGATCACCTGCAGCAGCTGCAGAACAGTAAGGGTTGCTGCCAGTTTCTTCTTCTGTTATATTTGTCCCAGAAGGATACTCGTCAGATGTCAGCCTGAGCTCCCCTTTATGAGGTGTCTCTTTGGTTATATGGGGGTCAGGGAGCTGCTTGAGGAGACAGTCTCTCCCTTATAGGAGCTCAAGTGCTGAGCTATGAGCTCTGTTGTTCTGTTCAGAGCTGCTGGGCAGGTACTTTTAAGTCTGCTGCAGTGGAACTCATAACTGCTCTTTTTCCCCAGGTGCTCTGTCCCAGGAAGGTGGGGCTTTATTTATAAGTTCCTGTCATTCTGCTGCCTTTTTTCAGAGATGCCCTGCCCAGTAAGGAGGTAGCCTACTCACAGTCTGCCAGCAGAGGTGTTGCTGAGCTGCCATGGGCTCTGCCCGGCTGCTGTGTGAGCTTCCCTGCAGTTTTGTTTATAGGGGTATAGTTAGAACTGCCTTGGTAATGGTAGACTGTCTTTGTAATGGCAGACTGCCTCAGTAATGGTGGATTGCCTTGGTAATGGTGGATTGCCTCTGTAATGGTGGGCTGCCTTGGTAATAGTGGACCACCTCTGTAATGGCAGACTGCCTCGGTAGTGGTGGACTGCCTCAGTAATGGCAGACACCCTTCCCCCCACAGAGCTGGACTGTCCTGGGTCCAGCTGTGCTTGCTGTGAAACTCTCAATCCAGAGCATTTCAGATTGCTGGTTTTTGTGGGGGTGGGACCAGCTGAACCAGGTCACCTGGCTCCCTGCTTTAGCCCCCTTTTATTCAGTTGAATGGGCGACTCTGTCTCCTAGGCTTTCCAGTCGCCAGTTCAGACAGTGCCCGGATTTGTGTGAATTTTTGTGTGGAGACCCGCTGCACCAGCTGGAACAGCCATGTTGGAGACTAGTGGTGCTTTTCTGCCCAGGAATCTCCTGGTCTGTGGGCAGTAAAAATTTGTTTGGAAATGCGGTGATCACTCACTCTCTGCGTTTTCACTGGAAACTGCAATCCAGAGCTGTTCCTGTTTGGCCATCTTGGATCCTAAACCAATAGTTAGTTTTCCAACCTTTCCCTGCTCCCTCCTTCCCTCCCTCCCTCCCTCCTTGTTTTGGTAGTTCCCAGTTTTGATTGTTGCCATCTTTACATCCACTAGTACCTGATGTTTAGTTGTCACTTATAAGTGAGAACATGTGGTATTTGGTTTTCTGTTTCTGCATTAATTTGCTTAGGATAATGGCCTTCAGTTGGATCCATGTTGCTGCAAAGGACATGATTTTGTTCTTTTTCATGCCTGCATAGTATTCCATGGTGTGTATGTACCACATTTTCTTTATCCAATCCACTACTGATGAACACCTAGGATGAGTCCATGTCTTTGTTATTGTGAATAGTGCTGCAGTGAACATACAAGTTCATGTGTCTTTTTGGTAGAACAATTTGTTGTTGTTGTTGTTGTTATTTTGGATATATACCTAGTAATGGTAGTTCCGTTTTAAGTTTTTTGAGAAATCTCCAAACAACTTTCCACAGTGGCTGAACTAATTTACATTCCCCACAAGGGTGTGTAAGCATTCCCTTTTCTTCACAGCCTCACCAACATCTGTTTTTTTTGTTTTGTTTTGTTTTGTTTTGTTTTACTTTTTAGTAATAGCCATTCTTTTTTTTTTTTCCCATTTATTTATTTTATTGCATTTTAGGTTTTGGGGTACATGTGAAGAACATGCAAAATTGTTGCATAGGAACACACGTGGCAGTGTGATTTGCTGCCTTCCTCCCCTTCACCTACATCTGGCATTTCTCCCCTTGCTATTTCTCCCCAGCTTCCCACCCCCCACCGTCCCTCCCCTATTTCCCCCCAACTGACCCCAGTGTGTAGTGCTCCCCTCCCTGTGTCCATGTGTTCTCATTGTTCAACACCCGCTTATGAGTGAGAACATGTGGTGTTTGATCTTCTGCTCTTGTGTCAGTTTGCTGAGAATGATGGTTTCCAGGTTCATCCATGTCCCTACAAAGGACCCAAACTCATTGTTTTTGATGGCTGCATAATATTCCATGGTGTATATGTGCCACATTTTCCCTATTCAGTCTATCGTCGATGGGCATTTGGGTTGGTTCCAGGTCTTTAGTAATAGCCATTCTTACTGGTGTGAGATGGTATCTCATTGTGGATTTGACTTGCATATCTCTTATGATTAGTGATGTTGAACATTTTTTCATATCTACATATATATTTTGAAGGAAGTGCTAACAGAACTGAATTGGGGTAAAGATGACTCCAAAACAACTAGAAGGATTTAGTTGCACTAACTGAGATGGGGAAGACTCTGGGAGGGACTAGTTTGCAGGGGAAGATGAGTCCATGTTGGACATGGTAAGTTTCACATGTCTATTGGCCACACCCAAGTAGCATTGTTAAGCAGGAGTTGGATTTACCAGGCTGGAGTTTAGGGAAGAGATCTGAGCTGGAGCCACCAGCTTACAGGTGGTATTTAATGCCACAGAACTAGATGTAATTAGCGGCAGTGAGGCGTAGAGACAGAGAAGAGTCGGGGTGCAGCTTCTGAGCTCTGAGCCTTTCTGTGTTAGAGAACAAAGGGATGAGGAAGAAACTGCAAGGGAGGCTGAGAAGAAAGAGCCAATGAGATGGGAAGAAAACCAGGAGAGTGTGATGTGCTCGAAATCAAGTAAAGGAAATATTTTCAGGGGAAAATGATCAGTGGCCTCAAATACTGATGATGGATCATGTAATGCAAGGACTGAGAACTGATCTTCAGGAGAAAACAGTTCATTTGAGTCACTGAAAGCTGTAGATTCTTTCTCCATGTTATTTCTTAAGTTAAGCCATGTTGTTCACCACCTTGTTTCAAGCCACTGTCTTTTCTTGCCCTGCAATTGGAGCTGCAGCTCTTAACCAATTCTTCTCGTGGTGCCCTCCATCTAGATCTGTGCTTTTCCTTGAAGGAGCCACAGGTCACACATGGTTGTTGAGCAACTGAAAATGTGGCCCATCTGAATTAAGATGTGCTATAAGTACACACTGGATTATGAATACTTAGCATGAAAAGAGAAAAAATAAAAAAGTAGACATGTCTTATGAATGATATTTTATATTAATTGATGTTGAAATAAAAACAGTGGGAATTGGGAGCTAAGTAAAATATATTTTTAAGATTCCTCACACATGAGCCTTTTTTCTTTTTATAGTTTTTAATGTGGCTCCCAGAAAATTTGAAGTTACATCATTGACTTGCATCTGTGGCTTGTGTTATATTTCTATTGGATAGTATTGGGACACACCGTTTATGACCCTGCCCCATAGGGATCTTTTAAAGTGACAAAATGACCATGTCACACTTCCCACTGCTAAGATAAAATGCCTCAACTTGAACACAAGGCTCTGTGAAAACAGGGCTCTGCTTGTCCAGCCTGCCCTCAGGTCTCTTTCTTCTCCATTGCCTATGCTCAGGGCACATTGGTCACATCCCTTTTCTTTTTTTTTTTTTTTTTTTTGGGACGGAGTTTCACTCTTGTTACCCAGGCTGGAGTGCAATGGCGCGATCTCAGCTCACAGCAACCTCCGCCTCCCGGGTTCAGGCAATTCTCCTGCCCCAGCCTCCTGAGTCGCTGGGATTACAGGCATGCGCCACCATGCCCAGCTAATTTTTTGTATTTTTTTTTTTTTAGTAGAGATGGGGTTTCACCATTTTGACCAGGATGGTCTCGATCTCTTGACCTCATGATCCACCCGCCTCGGCCTCCCAAAGTGCTGGGATCACATCCCTTTTCATTGTCTGCTAATGTATACTCCACTCTGGCTGGAGCCCTCTTCTCTAGCTTCTTTGCCTTGCCAATGTCTACACATCTGTTGGGTCTCAGTTTAACCATCACTTCCTCAGGGCATCCTTCCTTGGTCCTCAAACTAGGTTAGGTGCTCCACTCCTGAGGCTTGATCTTTTCATTTATAGTACTTGATTCCCATCATTATTTGCCTAATTAATTTTGCTCTTTCTCCACTAGACATTTGCTCCTTGAGGGCAGAGTTGGTCCTGTCTTAATCATTAGAATATCCTCTGCAACGGACAGACAGAAAACTGAGTATGTTTTTTACATTACTGTGGTGTTCCTTCCTGAGATTACTTCTATTCTTTTTTTTCTTTTTTCTAAGTTGTTACATCAAAACTTCAGATGTGGTGTTTTAGAAAGTGTTCTTATTATTAAGTTGAAGAGAGTTGCTTTCTGGTTTGTTTTGGGTTTGGGGTACTTTTTGCAATTTATTTTTCTTACGCTTTTAAAAACTAAGGTTAAATTTGCATAGAGAAAAATGCATATGATATGGTTTGGCTGTGTCCCTAACCAAATATCATCTTGAACTGTAGCTACCATAATTCCCACATGCTGTGGGAGGGAGCCGGTAGGAGATAATCAAATCATGGGTGGTTTCTCCCATACTGTTCTCATGGTATTCTCACAAGATCTGATGGTTTTATAAGGGGAAACCCCTTTTGTTTGGTTCTCATTCTCTCTTGTCTGCCACCATGTAAAATGTGTCTTTCACCTTCTGCCATGATCATGAGGCTCCCTAGTCACATGAAACTTTGAGTCCATTAAACCTCTTTTTCTTTATAAATTACCCAGTCTTGGGTATGTCTTAGTCAGCAGCATGGAAACAGACCAATACAGTAAAAATATTAAATATATCATTCAGTGACTTTTGGCAAATTAATATATCCATGTAATCAACATTCCAATCAAGACATTGAAGACTTCCATGACTCCCAAGAAAGTACCCCTTTACATTCAATACCTGCCCTCAAACACAACCACTTCCTGATTTCTACCATCATAGATTACTTTTGCCTCTTCAAAAGCTTAAAATAAAATAGAATCAGACAGTGTATGCTTTGTTCTGTCTGGCTTCTTTGACTCAGCATTGTGTCATATGGTTCCATCACTTGTTCCTTTTTATTGCTGAGTAATTGAATAGAAATAATTCATGTATCTATTAACCTCTTTTTTAAAAATAATTTCAACTTTTAGTTTAGATTCAGGGGATATATGTGCAGGCTTGCTACATGGGTAAATTGTGTGATGCTGAGGTTTGGGGTGTGGATGATGCCATCACCCAGGTAGTAAGCACAGTCCCCAGTAGGTAGTTTTTCAGCCCATGCCCCTCTCTCCCCCCTCTCCTTCTGGTAGTCTTCAGTGTCTATTATCCCATCTTTATGCCCATGTGTACACAATGCTTAGCTCCCACTTATAAGTGACAACATGTGGCATTTGGTTTTCTGTTCCTGCATTAATTCGCTTAGGATAATGACCTCCTCTTTTTCTTATAATGTCCTTATTTTCCTTCTCTCTCTTTTATGATGGATTTTATGTAATATTGGCAATATTTACAGACTTCATCAGAGAAATAATCTGGGCCTGGAATTTTCTTGTTGAAAAGGTTTGTAATTGCACATTTAATTTCTTTAATATAGGAGATATTCAGATTTTCTCATTTTTGTCAGTTTTGGAAAATTATCTTATACAAGGTATTTGTCCATTTAACTGAAGTTGTCAAATTTAGGGACATAAGATTATTCATAAATTTTCTTTATTATCCTTTTAATGTCTTTAGGGTCTTTGGTGATATCCCCTCTTACTCCTGTTACTGGCAATTTATGTTTCTGTCTCTCTTCCTCATGAACATGGATTCAAAAATGTATTCAGAAAAACATTAGAAAATGGAATCTAGCAGTATATGAAAAAGATAGATTATAACCAAGTGGGATTTATCCCAGGAATGTAAAGCTGGCTCAATATTTGAAAATCAATGTAATCCACCACTTTACTAAAACAAATGAGAAAATTGTATGATTCTTCTGATAGATGTAAAAAAATCACTTGAAAAATTTTAACACCTATTCATTGTAAAAACTCTGAAAATTAAAAGAATAAGGGAACTTTCTCAAATTGATAAAACTAATATCGTAATAGAGAAATATTGCATGTGTTCCCATTATACTTGAAAACAGAAAAAATATCTATTTTTATCATAAAATCTAACACTTTGGTAAAGTCCAACCAAATGCAGTAAAGCAATACAAACAAATATATAACATAGAAATTGGAAAAGAAGAAGTAAAATTTATTCAAAGACAACACAATTGTGTTTACAAACAATCCTAAGGCATCCACAAAAAATTTACTAGAACTAATAATGTGAATTTATCAAAGTCACAGAATACAAGATCACTAATTCAAAAATCAATTCTTTGCTTATATTCTGACCAAAAATTAAAAAAAAAGAAAAAGAAACATTTAAATACCCTTTAAAATCGCATCAAAAACATAAAACATTTGGGAAAAAATTTAATGAAAGCCTACAGTTTGAAAACTGCCAAGCATTGTTGAAATTAATATTTGCCCTTCTATGCCCTTTTCTGTCTTCTTTTGCATTTAAAATTGGATTTTTACAAGTAATATATTTTATTTCTTCTATTAGTGTTTCCGCTATACCATCTGTATTGTTTCAATAGCTGCTTGGTGGTTTTAAATATGCACCAGTAACTTTTCATGAACTACTAAGAATTAATATTATTTCATTTCACTTATAATGTAAGAAGTTTTTAACAGAATATTCAATTTATTCTCTCTGTTCTTTGTGTTATTGTCATATACTTTATTTATACATATGAATGCCACAAAAAGTTATTTTTTCTTTAAATAATCAATTGTCTTTCAAAGAAATTAGCAAAATTAAAACATTTTTTACATTTAGTAGCATCTTTGCCATTTGTAGGAATCTCCATTCTTTTTTGTAGACCTGAGTTTTCATCTGATATCATTTCATTTCTTTTCAGTCTGAATAACTCCTTGTAACTTTTTTTTTTTAAAGAGACAGAGTCATGCTCTATTGCCCAGGCTTCAATGCCATGGCACAATCCTAGCTTGCTGCAGCCTCAGACTCCTGGGCTCAATGATCCTCTGCCTCAGCCTCCTGAGTAGCTAGGACTATAGGTGCATGCCACCATGCCTGGATAATTTTTTTTTTTTTTTGGTAGAGATGGGGTATATTGCCCAGGCTGGTCTTGAACTTCCTGTCTCAAGAGATCCTCCTGCCTCGGTCTTCCTTTTAGCATTTCTTATAGCACAGTTCTTTTGGCACTTAATTCTCGCAGACTTCCTTTTCTGAAAACTTTCTGAGACTTTCTATCTGTTGTCTTTCTGGCCTCCACTGTTTCTGGTAATGTGACAAGTACCTTTCTTATCATTGTTCCTTTGTATACAATTATGGGTTTTTTTCTGGCTGCTTTTAAGGTTTTCTTTTATCTTTGGTTTCAAGAGTTTTACTATGATATGCTCAGATGTGTTTGTGTTTTGTCATAATTAATATGAACTTAAAGAAGAAAGAAAATCACATTTATAGTACATCTACCTTCTGACAAATACCATAGAATGCACTGATAAAGAAATAATCTCATCTAATCCTTTCTGTGGATTAATAGCATGTCATTGATGAGGAACCAAGGCTCATTGGTGATGCATCCAGCCATGACAGAGTGACTGATAATGGACCTGTCATCTGGCCATAAACAGCAATACAATCAGACAAGATATAGAACCAACTATTTCAGGCATTGGACAAAAGACAACACAAGTCTATGCTCTTCACACCTACTATATACTCCCAAGAATTTAAAAAATAAAATAAAACAAATAAACAAAAAACCAAATCTGGGCTCTTTGAGAGAAAGAAAGGCCCTAAGTGAGCTTAGCATTCTACTCCTACCCTGTCCCTATCTTCTGCCCTAACTTTCTTGGACCTTGGTGCCAATAGGTGGAGGTTAAATGGAAAGCTACAATTTTACTGGGTAGGGGGAGTAGAGATCAGAGTTGGGGGCTTCTGGTACTGGTGGAGCACTGGGATATGGAGGTAGATTCTCCTTGGGCCCTGGTCCACTGAATGCCGGAGGAGCAGGGGGAGATTTCACAGGGCCTAAGAGGCAGGCGGTTGGGGGCTGAGAGCTGAATGCGGATATCAAAGATTGCCCAGTGCTAGGACACAGGAGTTTTGGTTCAGCCAGAGAAAAGAAAACTTGCTGAGCGTACAAATCATTTCTTTGAGATCTGAGAAATGCTACATCTTAAGAGAAATGATCACATTCAGGGGCAAGGGTTCTGCACTAAAATAAAGTACAAAGCTGAACTAGACATGCCCACTTCCCAAATTTGGTTGCTCCCCTAGACTCTTTCTCTTCCCCTCCCTCTGCATCTAATGACACTGATGACAGTCAACATGTCCAGCATGCTTACTATGTGCCAGGTAGGGTATTCTGAGAATTTTTTAACCTATGTTGATGCAGCATACATCCCAACAACACTGTGAGGCAAGTAATATTTTTATCTCTGTTTCACAGGTATGGAAACTGAGGTACTGAGAGAGTAAATAACTTGCCCAATACTATACAGCTAGGCAGTAGTAGAGCTGGAACTCAAACTCATGTGAGCTGACTCCAAAGTCCACACTTTTAACTACAACTCTCACTACTTCAGTGTTCTCTGGGTTGTTACTTATAGGTTAAAAAACCTATAATGTCTGCTTCCCTTCTCCTCATGCAGTGTCACCAGAGCCTCAGTTCAGATGTTCCTCATCCCTGGCTGTATTAGTTCATTCTTGCATTGCTACAAAGAACCATCTGAGACTGGGTAATTTACAAAGAAAAGAAGTTTAATTGGATCACAGTTCCACAGGCTGTACAGGAAGCATGACTGAAGAGGCCTCAGGAAACTTACAATCATGGTGGAAGGCAAAGGGGAAGCCGGCACGTCCTACATGGCTGGAGCAGGAGGAAGAGAGAGAGAAAGGGGAGCTGCTACACATTTTTAAACAAGCAGCACTAGGAGGATGGTACTAAAGCAATAGAAACCACCCCCATGACCCAATCACTTCCCACCAGGCCTCTCCTCCAACACTGGGAATTACAATTTGACATGAGATTTGGGTGGGGACACATAGCTAAACCATATCACTTGCCTAAACTTTTATAATGATCTTCCTATAGAGGTTTCTCTGCCTCTGTATTTTCTCAAAGGTATATTTCTAAATTGTACATTCCAACATATAAACTTTTTTCTGCTCAAAATCCTAATGTTCACTATGATCCACTCCCCCTCACCTTCCTATCCAGAATTTCCCCAAGCACTTTCTCCCTCCTTTCTTTTTCTCTATTTCCCTCTTTACCACTCCAGTAATACGTACCACTTGTGGTTTAACAAACCGTGCCATTCATGCCTCTGAGCTTCTGCCCATGTTGCTCCCTCTGCCTCAAATATATCCCCTCCTTGTCAGCCTGGCAACCTTGCCTCCTTTCTGAAGTTGTCTGACTCCTTCCAGGCACATGGGGGCCTTTCTTCCTCCATGAGTCATAAACAGGCATCCACTAGTCCCCAACTCAGAGCATGGCAAAACTCTCTGTCTCTGGACATCTAACCCCTGGGGGTCTTAGTTGTTGCCCAGCACCCAGCACAGGCTGGGCACACAGTAGGCACATAACAAACGCCCCTTGAAATTGCAAATGAAATTCCAGGACCCCCCCAACCAAAAATAAAATTCCAGGGTCCCCCAACCATCTGAAGAGACATCTCCTCTTGGCCAAGCACATTCCAAAGTTAACCTGAAAAGCTAGTTCAGGCCATGATGGGAAGAAGGAGGTTGAATATGCGTCATTATATGCTCCTCCCTTTTGGAATTCAGGAAAAGCTGACCAGCATTAACATCAACACAGACCTTAAGTCTGTTAAGAAACATTTACAATCTATTCTTTCTAAAGCCTGATACCTGGAGGCTTCATCTCTTTGAAAAAAAACTTAGTCTCCACAATCTCTTATCATAACCCAGACAATTCCTTTCTATTGATAATAACTCTTTCAACCAATTGCCAATCAGAACGTTTTTAAATCTGCCTATTACTTGGAAGCCCCCTGCCCCACCTTTGAGTTGCCCCACCCTTCCACAGCAAACCAACGTACGTCCTACATGTACTGATTGAGGTATTATGTCTCCATAAAATGTATAAAAGCAAGCTGTACCTTCAAAACCTTGGGCACATGTCAGTACCTCCTGAGGCTGTGTCATGGTCATGTTCTTAGCCCTGGCAAAATAAACTTTCTAAGTTGATTTAAGTCCTGTCTCAGACACTTTGGGGTTTACAAAATATTGTACATATCAAATTCCTAACGACAGCTGAATGGCATCATATTTTCTTCTCCTCAGGAAGGCAGAGGAGGGGTGGTACAGGGGGTCCTGAGAAGCCTGCAGACCTCAGGAAAGGAGAGGAGAAAGGTGGGAAATATCTTTCTCAGAGGTGGCTCTGCTCTGTTAACAAAAGGTCAACGAACTCACAAGAATGAGCGATGCCTCTTTTCCTTGTTTCTAGACAAAGCTGAGATGTGACTTCAGCATTTCACTGTTCTCTGGTCTGCATCCTTGGCCGAAATGTTTTCCCTTGGAATTGTCTTTCTTTCAGAAGGGAGAGTTCACAAGACACAGCTGATCACAAAGAGCTTGGTAATAGTTCCTTTGGGGGAGGCTCCTCAGCCCTGCAGCTGGGAGACTGGGAGTGGGAGAAGGCCTCTTAGACTCCGTGCACCTGCAGCCCTTCTCCTGCCCACATGCCGTGAGTGGGGAGGGAGCATTGTCACCGTAGGTGCAGCCAAGCTGGCCAACCCACCTTCTCACTCCACCTTGGCAGAAAATGGGGTCAGTAGGATAGCTTTTGTTTTTGCTCTTTAGACACTTTGTTTTTCCTCTTTAAAGCATTTTTTTCTGAGATTCTGAGACGATGACTGTTTGACCAACATGCAGCTGTGGGGAGATGGGAGAACTCATCAGCCAGCCAACCCTGGTGACTATGTGGGGGCAGGGACCTTAGCCAGGATCTCTCGCAGGCCAATTGCACTAACGTTGGGCTGTCCTGGGGTGGGTGGCAAGGGCCAGTGCCTAATGCAGAGGGAAGCAGGCCTGTCACCTGGGCCCACAAAGGCACTCTGGATCCCTCTGACTGTTCTGCAGGGAGGAAGCTTTTTACCCCCAGCTCGGGTCAGGTACAGCATTACACTGCTTCTCACCCCCGTATTTTTCTTTCACAGCACTCCCAGAATTTGTGAGATATAGTTGAAGGATTCTTTTGTGTAATAATTATGTTTTCTAGTATTTGATACTTTGACATTTATGCTTTGCAGTTTCTGGAGGGATTGCCCCTCCCAGAGCTAGCCAATTGCTAATGATTAAGTAAACAACTCACCTGGGAGCAGGTCGTTCCTATGCACAGCAACCAGTCCAGAGCCCATAAGCCCCAACCACCTCCTTCCCCAGGTTCTCACACCCCCAGGCCAGCATTTCCTTGCCCTCAAAGCCTCAGGGCCAGAGCCCCTGAAATTATTCCAACTAGCCAATGATAAGCCTTTCCACCCTGCCTCACCTGTTCCTTCCCCCGGTAAACTACAATAAAGGCTCTTACCCATGTTTTCCCCTCCTTCCCTCCCTCTGCCTCCTGACCCACCTGCTGCTTTTCCCCATGGCCCTGAAGAGCATGCCCTGCCTCCTATTTCTACGGATCGGTGAGTACAGAAACTCCTTCCTCATGCAGTCATTTCCATGTCTGCATGTCTTGCTATGCCTGATTAAAAGAAAGCCTGGATACCCTTACAACATCTTCTTCATAATTCTCTCATCCACTGGATGGTGACCTCCATGATGAAACAATGTAGCTGTTTAATCCAGTTCCTGGCCCAGCACTTGGCTTGTAGCATTTGCTGAATAAATGATTGAATGCATAACCAAATGTTTTTAAGATCCCTTAGCGATTCTAGTAAGAGGAAGAGTTTTATAAAATTTTTTTCATCTTAATGTATTGTCCATCTTTCAAGAGACTGACACTCCAGTCCTTACTGATTGAGATGAGGCCCCTTCTGAGCTGCTGTCCAGGAGTGGAGGTGGTTGGCCACATACTCAGCCCAAGCCAGTTTCCCTCTGGACTATGTGGGACAATGTGGCAGGGTACTGGGTAGAGCTTTACTGCAAAAATAAACAAGGAAAGAGAATCACTGCTTCTATGGGGTCTGCAAGACTTTGAGGAGCAGATAGTACGTAAGCTGGTCTTGAAGAAACAAAAGGACTTTAGCAGATTATGGAGCACCTTCCATGTACCAAGCGCTGCTGATGTTTTATTTGTGTGACCTCCCTTTGGGCTGACTGCATCCTTGAGATATATTTAATTTCTTCTTTACAGATGAGAAAGTTGACGCTAAGATTAGGTAACTTATTTAAGGTTACACCATTAAGTAACAGAAGCAAAATTTGAATCCAGGAAGACTTTAGACCAAAGCCCGTGATCTTTCCATTATGCCAGGCACGGCGTGTGTTCGATGATAATACCACGCCCACAATAACATGTGCCTGGTATGCACTGAGGTCACACACATCATCTAATCTAATCAACTTCAAAAAATGAGGGTGATATTCTGACTATCTTCATTATACAAATTCCAAAAAGAGGCACAAAACAGTTTAAGAATGTGTTCAAGTTCATATAACTAGTAAGGGGCAGAGCTAGGAATTGAATCCAGGCTGGTATCTGAATCCACGTACTTAACACAATCATTTAGTTTGTTCATATATGCACATGCAGAGGGGTTTGAGATTGACATGGAGAGCAGGGGGCAGGGGAGAGTGGAGGCTGGATACTGGTGGTTTTATCAATTTTGGCAAAAACTCTTTTAGGACAAGTGTTGATTGGCAAAATTCTGTGTGAGCAGTAACAATAGTAATAATCAGCAATGATAAATATAGCTGAATGTTTGTTTTCTTTATGGCAAACCAGTTAGGGTAAGGATAGTGTGTCTTCCTAACTCTGTACTCCCAAAAGGTCACAATGTCCCTGGTATTTCTGGGATGGAAGGGACTATGAACTGAGACTGAGAAGATCTGTGACTAACAATCCCTGACAATGCCATGGATCCCTGAGCTCCTTTGCCTCACAGTTATGTCTGCTACCAAACTCTATGGCCAACAGCCAGCCATCAGCCTGGCAGTGAGAGAGGGGCTTGGGGCCTATGGCTGCAGGAACCTGTAGCTAGGGGCAGTGCCCTGGCTCAGCAGCCCTGGCCGCTGAGGCAGTGGATGTGCAGAATGGCTCCCTTCCAGCCACAGCACCTGGTGAGTCATCAGTGTTCCATCACAGCATATTAAAGGTGAACCTCTGTGGGAAAGACAGAACTTACATAGCCTTGAGTGCTCTCAGAAACAGGTCCTGGGCCTCCCAAGCTTTGCTACTTCTGCTGTCATCACCAATAGTACCCACAGGAGCCTGGGGTGGTTGCTAGGCAACAAGCCATCTCGGCATCCTCCTCCAATTTGTAGACATCTTTACTCAGATTCCCTGTCTCTAGGTCCATCCTTCCTGCAGGAGAATTGGCCAGACCAGTGTCAGAGATTCTGTAGGACTCCTGCAGGATGCTTGGGTCCTTCCTCCAAGAAGAGCCTCCCTGAGAACCAATCACTATCCCTTAGGTGCCTTCACCGTGCAATATTTCCAGTGTTCCATGGACACAGGGAGGGGAGCATCACACACCAGGGCCTGCCTGGGGTGGGGGAGCTAGGGAAGGGATAGCAGTGGGTGGGGGATGGGAGGGATAATATTAGGAGAAATACCTAATGTAGATGACTGGGGGATAGATGCAGCAAACCACCATGGCACGTGTATACCTATGTAACAAACCTGCATGATCTGCACATGTACCCAAGAACTTAAAGTATAATAATAAAAAAATGTTTCCAGTGTTCTCATTTTCTAACATTTAAAATATGCATCTTCTAGAGGTAATTCATTATGGAGAGGTTTATTAGCTCATGCATGAGTTATCTGGAAGTATTCCTCTTCTCTCTCCTATGGTTACTTTTATGGCCATTTTCTGCTAGGAACCAGAGGTCTGGGAGTAACAGAAGGGTAACCTATGTTTTATGACTTTGCTGCCACTGGTTTTGGAGGCAACGTGTTATTAATTGAGTTAAAAAAAAAAAAAAAAAAAAAGTTTTCTGGTCCATGGTCTAAGGTGAACAGGTTGCAAAATTAAGAAGCAAATTATTGGCCAGGCACGGTGGCTCACACCTGTAATCCTAGTAGTTTGGGAGGCTGAGGTAGGCAGATAACTTGAGGCCAGAAGTTCAAGACCAGCGTGGCCAACATGGCGAAAAATACAAAAATTAGCCTGGCATGGCAGTGCAGGCCTATAGTCCCAGCTACTTGGGAGGCTGAGGCACAAGAATTGCTTGAACCTAAATCACTTGAACCCAAATCACTTGAACCCAGGAGGCAGAGGTGCAGACAGCTGAGATCAAGTCTACTGCACTCCAGCCTGGATGAAAGAGCAAGACTCTGTCTCAAAAAAAAAAAAAAAGAAAGAAAATATTAAATAAATTACCACCCTCCCCACCCCCTGTAACCTTCCCCTTACCACCCATGTCTTTTTCCTACTTATGAAAAGGAAATCTGTGGCCACTCTATTAGGAGGACCTGCAAAGATTGCACAGGCTGCCTTCATTTCTTCTCAGTCTGCCATACTCAGTGTCTTCTTGTCCCTCTGGCTTTAAATCTTATTTGCATTGCTCTGGTGAAACTCGCAAGCAACACAAGACTGAAGAAGGTGGCAACTGGCAAGAAAGTACTGTTCAGACCTTTTAACACCAACAGGGGTGTTTCTATCAAATATCCCAGAACTCGTTCATGGGTCTTGTTGGGCTGGATTCCAACCAACACATGCCCCACAACCCTATCCCAAAGAATGTTATTCTTTGGTGTGCATCTGTCTTCTCTTCCTCCCTGTCCATTAAGGCAGCTCTCTCTCTTTGTAGTTTTTTTGCCTCTATCTATGGAAGAGTCTGTCCTCCTGAAGGAGGGTGGTCTTAGGAGTAAAACTTGAGGGGAAGAGAACCAATATTTATGGAGACCCATAACTGGCCAGGCAATGTGCTAGGTGCCTTCTCTACTTTTCTGCATTAAATCCTTAAAATAATCCTATAATGCATTAATCATATTTTAGAAATAAGCAAAAACTCAGAGAGATTAAGATATTTCATTTTATACCATCGCACAGCTGGCAAAATCCCCAGCCCACTTGCCCGGTTTCACAGCAAGTTCTTTTCACTAGGGGTAGAGTCTCCAGAGAAACAGGGGCTTGCTAATCCTCGAACCTATCCATGACAATCACCCACACGCAAGCAGGGAGAGAAAGGAAAATGGAGAGGTAGCAGCCAGGTTTCAAGCCCAGGTGCTAATATTTGCAATTAGCTGGCAAACAAAACAGAACTGACCAGAAAGCCTAGAAGAAGAGCAGAGATTTAAGAGAAATGCCAGCAGCAGGTGACAGGTTTCCATTCTCTTCCAGCCCTTGGATGTCCTTGGGAGAGTTTGAAATTGCAGCCTTGAGGACCCTGGCTGTGTTTCCTGAACTGGTAGAGCTGGAAGCTAAGTGGAAGTTATAGTATTCCCAGAACATGACCATTTCCTTTTCAAGGAGAGCTTTAGTCTGAAAAGGAAGAATTCACCTGCTACATTCTACGATCCAGCATAAGTGATGGACTTGCACTGCCATCCCCTTGTTGCTATAGGAACGATTTCCTACCCATTTTCGGAAACACGCGGCCAGGGTAAATGCTGCCATTATTCATGCATGTACTTCCATTGGTTCAATTGGAAAAAGACTGCCAGATGGTCACTTGCTGAAGACAGAACCTGAAGACCTCTTTCTAATGTGAAAACTATTTGGCAACTCCATCTCTAATCACAGGGGTGTTTGTAGACTCTGTCCCGTGGTGTGCTCAGACTTTTCTATCAGCTTGTTTTCTAGGTAAACTATGATTGGTGAAGGAGGTGCTGTGAGATTCAGTTCAAGGAATATATCCTGGTGGATATGACTCATCCAGGAGCCAGGGGTTTAGTGCAAGCACAAAGGAGCTGAGGATGACTGGTGTGTGCACGTTCTCATTCAGGCCACACACACACAAACACACAGCTCCTACCTTAATTGTTGTTGTGCTCCATTATGTTCCCTTCCTGGAGGTCACATCACATTTGGTCAACAAAAATTTCTCAGGTGTGCCGCTGAGCCTTAGGACTCAGACAATGTTTGCTGCCTCCCTGCATTGAGACCCACAGTCTGCACACAATGTCTATTTTGTGTGGGAGTGCAGGACATTTCCATTTTTTAAAGGTAGAATTCTCCATGTGGAGGCAGCTTCAACCTAAGTGGAAGGGCAACTGGATTTAAACTCAAAAGACTTGCCGTTCACTGAACTAGCTCTGGGACCTTGACCAAGTCATCTGGTTCAACTGGATGATCTTTTTCTCATTCCATGAAAAGGAATGGTCAAGCCTCCTTCACAGCCCGATTGGTTCAGATAAGTACATTGATTTATGCCTTCAATAGTTGTCTAGAGCTGGGGATATTTCAAATGAAGATGAGACAAGGTCCTGCTCTCATTCTAACATAAGGAAGTGAGAAAAATAATAAACAGGGGTAAATAATATGAAGATAAATAACAGGAGAGTGTGAAAGAGAGGATCTGACAACTGCTTTAGATTGGGGGATCCGAGAAGGCATCACTGATGAAATGGTACCTAAGCTGAAATCTGAATGACAGAATGAACCAGCCACGCATGGGGGAAGAGCAATCAGCAGAAGGAATATGCAGTGCAAAGACCCTGTTATGGGAATAAGCTTTGGGCTGTTTGAGAAAGCAAAAGAAGGGTGACATGGCTGGAGCGTGGTGGGGGAGGGGGAGGAGGAGGCAGAGGCCAGCCCACAGCACTTTGTAAATCCAGGTAGTAAATTGAGATTTTATTCTCATATGTAGGAAGTCATGATAATGGTTTGGGAAAGGACAGGGCTGCATGGTTTGTTTTTAAAAGACTTCTATGCTCGCTGTAAGAAAAGTAGATTTAGAAATAAGAAAACAAGTTAGGAGGCTATTGCATTAGTGCTAGCAGAAGACGATGGGTGGGTTGGTCTAAGGTGATAGGAGAGAGATGGAAAGAAATTGACACCTG